CTGATATGACTTTGTGTACATTATAAGTAATAATTGTAATTGTCATGTTAAATTATTGTGTGCCAAAGAGGTAACAAATTTCCTTGTCAATTGTGTCTTTGACTATGGCTGCCCTAAAACTTTTTGTTTTCCATGGACAATTGTCTTGTTTTGGTATTCTTTAGAAGGTGGTTTTATAGCTGGGCACAGGGGTTCATGCCTGTAATCCAGCACTTTGGGAGGCAAAGGCAGGTGGATCACAAGGGCAGAAGTTCAAGACCAGCCTGGCCAAGATGGTGAAACCCCATTGCTACTAAAACTACAAAAATTAGCCAGGCATGGTGGCAGACACCTGTAATCCAAGCCACTGGGGAGGCTGAGACAGGAGAATCACTTGAACCCAGGTGGCAGAAGTTGCAGTGAGCCAAGATCGCACCATTGTACTCCAGCCTGGGCAACAGAGTAAAACTCCATCTTAAAAAAAAAAAAAGTAAAGAAGGTGGTTTTATAATAAGCTTTAACCTCTAACAGGTGCTCTTGAGTGCAGGTTTCTGATAACCTTGGAGACTGTGACATCAGAATAGAGGAAAAGCTTTTGGGACTCACGGAGAGCTGAAATGTTCATGAATGTCAAGCAGAATAGGAATTAACTACGTGGACCGAACTTATAGAAGACTGAAGTAATGTTTTTGACTTTTTGCTTAAAACATTATTGATCCTTTGTTTTGTTTTTTCAGAGTCAAAATAGTTTTTTCTTTTGAGCTATTGATAGCTTTTAACAAGTTATTATACTCTTATGAACAAAATTTAGAGCAGATTTGTTTCTCTCTGCCTGATTTCTTCAGAATTTGGAAACTATTTGTGAGTATTCTTAATTTGTTGCGATAGTTACTTGCATAAATGCAATAAGAATCTATTTTTATTTGTAATAGGACACAATTGGAGAAACTGATTATTCTACCAAGGCTTTGAATGGAATGGTGTGCTTTCCTTTAAGGAATTAAACTTGATTTATGGAGCCAATAAAAGCCCCTTGGGAAAACTGGCCTCATACTCCGTCTACACAGTCCCTGTACAGGGTTCTTGACCTGTGGTAAGTAAAAATGTCAATTTCTGACAGGCCCAGGAGCCTCAAGTTTTATCTTGGGGCCTCAAGAGGAGAGAAATTCATGCAACTCATAGGTATTTGATGGTACAAATCCATGGCAGGGCTCAGCTTTAAACAGGTCTTTTCTGAGATTCCTTCTATGGAACAAAGTTCCATCAAAGCCAATTTAAAAACCTATGTAAAAAAATAACTATTCTTCCTGCATTGTGTACAGGTAATCAGGCCAGGTATAATCAAGGAAATCAGTCCTACCATGATTTGTGTTTGGTAAAAATGAGAAACTGGAGAGACAAAAATTATGTTTTAAAAACTATAGTACCCCTGTTGTTAGATTCTAATCTTAACTAATTTTTAAAAATTTTTATTATTTTCTACAGTTTGAACCAAATTTTAATTCTTTTGGCTACAAGTCTTCAAAATCTTTTCAATTTTTTTATTTGTTTTTCCCCATTTTTCTTAATTTGGAGTCACTGAAAACTAAGCTGTGCTTTTGTAAAGCCCTGTGAACTGAAGCTTGACAACTTAAACTTCAGAAGAAATAATAGCAACCTATTTACATACATGTGCCACTTTCATGCCTGACCAATGATGTATGGACTTCAGAGCAATGTGGCCTGTATCATCTTCCAGGATGGTTCTTTTGTTTGTTTGTTTTCTCTCTTCCTTCCCCTATTTTCTCTTCATAGGACATGAGACTTCACAGCCTTCTAAATATGAGCTTCCCTAAGAACTTGGGACCTACTGGTCTAGGAATAAACTATCCTAATCATAGAGATCAGACGAAACCTGAAATGAGTCACTCATTTTCTCCTAAAATGCTTTCTCCAAAAGATTTTGAAAAAGAAAAGGGTGGAAATATGAAAGGAGAATGTCTTGGGGCCCCAAAATCACTAAGCTAAAGGGAAAGTCAAGCTGGGAGCTGCTTAGGGCAAACCTGCTCCGATTCTATTCAAAGTCACCCCTCTGCTCACTGAGACAAATGCACATCTGAGTTCCTCCTTTGGAGAGGCTAATCAGAAACTCAAAAGAATCCAACCGTTTTTCAAGTCCCTTCCCTGCTTCGCTTTGAGTTGTCCTGCCTTTCCAGACTGAACCAGTATTCATCTTACATATGTTGATTGATGGCTCCTGTCTCCCTAAAATGTATAAAACCAAGCTATGCTTTGACTACCCTGGGCACATGTTGTCAGGACCTTCTGAAGCAGTGTCATGGATGCGAGTCCTCATCCTTGGCAAGGTAAACTTTCTAAATTAACTGAAACCTGCCTCAGCTATTCAGCGTTCACAGTTTGCTGTCTCTCTTCACTAGGAAAGTGTTCTTTGAAGGCCGGAATCTCTTTTCCTGAGTGATGTATTCCAAGTGCCTGGAGCAGTGTCTGGCATATAGAAGGTATTCAATACATGTGTGCTAATTAATGAACTAGCCTCCTATGCTCATGCAGGGTGAGAGCTGAGTTTGGCTGAAAATATGGTCCAGGAACTTTCTGCATAAGGCTGTTACAGCCCCCACGGCCAACAATCATCTGCCCAGGCTGGGAATTTCCCCAAATATCAAGGAAAATGGTCCAGACAAAATTCAGCAAATCCAGGGAAGCTTTCAGCCAGGCTTCCTGTCCAGGGGTTCCTCACTTCCTCATCTGCAACAGGATGGAGTGATGCTGTTGATCACTCCAATGACAAAAAGAAAAAGGAATTGGAGGGGCAAGTCCCAGTTGGGTGAAAAAGACAACTTGAATGGCTCCTGCTGCAGATTAGCCTTGGCCTGTGGACTTTTCTGCTGCTGGAATGAGGAAGCCTGAATCCCTACGGGGTGGGGCTGAGAGGGCTTGGAGGAGCTGAAAGGAGCTGCATTCTTGCTGGGCCTCTTCTCCACCTTCTCTTGGGGTAAGCCTCACCCTGGATCACAGCCACCAGATAGGGCCTAGAGGATGCAGTCCCTGCTGTGGCCCCGCCTCCCCTCCCCAGCTGGCACCTCCCAGGGGGAGTCCTTGTCTCATCTGATAAGCAAAGAGCTGGGCTGCGTGGGAGTGCTCAGCCTGCAGATCAGTGGCGTCCAAGATCGTGACCCCAGGTGCTGGGTTTTGTCTCCTGTGGATCCCCTCAGCCTCTTCTGGGGAGTCTTCCTTCTCCCGTGGGCCCCTTCTTCCCAGCAGCACAGCCCAGGGCAGGGGAAATTTCTGGAAGACAAAGTCACACAGCCAAGGCAGAATCGCAGGTCACAGGGCCAAAAGGACCGTGCAGCTCATATTTGCCCAGAGAGGGCAAATAACCTGTGTGTTCACACAGCTCCTGGGTCCATGTTAAGGAGACAGCTGGAAATGGAACCTGGACCTTCTGATTTTTTTTTCTGTTATTTTTTGAGACAGAGTCTTGCTCTGTCGCCCAGACTGAAGTACAATGGAACCATCTCAGCTCACTGAAACCTCCACCTCCCAGGTTGAAGCAATTCTCCTGCCTCAGCCTCCCGGGTAGCAAGGGTTACAGGCCCACACCACCACGCCCAGCTACTTTTTGTATTTTTAATAGAGATGGGGTTTTGCCATCTTGGCCAGACTGGTCTTGAACTCCTAGCCTCAGGTGATCTGCCCACTTTGGCCTCCCAAAGAGCTGGGATTACAGGCGTGAGCCACTGTGCCCAGCCTGGTTTTAAAGTTCTTTCCAGTTCTGAGACATGATTCCCTGAGGCAGATACAACAGACTTTCTTCTACCCCAGAGCCGCTTTCATCAGGCCTCCTGCCCTGAAATTCCCAAGCTGTCTTGTCTGGCCACTTGCCAGTGGCCATGACCGTTCATGTCCTCGGCACACTGAGGGGGTAAGATTCTTCTCTGGGGTGTTTGGAAATATGTTCGGGAACGTCATTTCCCTTCTCATGGCTGAATCTCTAGCTTCGCTGAGGCGTCACCCCCGCGTCCTCCCTTCCTGGGCCCTGAGACTCCAGTGAGCACACCCGCCTTGTCCCTCTTCCCAGCCGGTCTCTTCCGCACCGTACCTTCAGCCTGGCCAGGGGACGAACATGTTCCTGGATCTAGCTGGGATACAGAATCAAAGGATGAGGAAGATGGAAGGGTATTAGGAACTGGAGTCTTGTCCCACAGTGGGGAGCTGTCTCTTCTCCCCAGTGCTTCGGGATCAGAGTGGATGTGAAGGGTCTCGCTCGTGCACTGAGCACCTGAGATGTACATATTTTTGATGAGCATCAACCGTGTCGCAGGCACTGTGCAAGAGCTTTACTATCTCATGTAATCCTCACAGCAAAGCCTAGTGAGGTAGGGATTGTCCATGTGACAGAGCAGGAAATTAAGGTTTAGAATGGCTCTTTAATTTTCCCTGGGTTATAGAGCTGATCATGCCTAGGGTTAGAGAACCCAAGCTCCAGGCACAGGAGGGGCTGGTGGTGAGACACTGCCTGCTGGGACTTCCGAGCTGCAAGACTCAGGGGCAGATGTCACTGTGCTGGGCATGGTGGCTCGTGCCTGTAATCCCAGTATTTTGGGAGGCCAAAGCAGGCAATCACTCAGGTCAGGAGGTTGAGAACAGCCTGGCCAACATGGTGAAATTTTGTAAATACACCATGAATTAGCCAGGCGTGGTGGCAGGCGTCTGTAATCCCAGCTACTCGGGAGACTGAGGCAGGAGAATCGCTTGAACCCAGGAGGCGGTGGTTTCTGTGAGCTGAGATCTCACTACTGTGCACTCTAGCCTGGGCGACAGAGCGAGACTCCATCTCAAAAAAAAAAACCAAAACCTAAAACAACAAGAACCTGGTGATTTCATATCTTCAAATCAAATTTCAGAGGAGAAATTACTGGGCAAGGAAGGCAGGGGGGTCAGTTGCTGACAGCCCCAGCCTGCCACGCTCAGCCTGCACATCTGTGGTCACCTGGCTACACCTCGGAAACTCCCAGTCACACACCTGGGCAGGAGGCGCCTCTCCTCTCCGGTTTAAGGAAGCAGGAAAAGGTGGCCCTCTGCGAAGACAGGTCTGCGGAGCGGTGGCAGTGCCCCGGCCAGGATGGGCTCTCTCTGGGGTCTGCTTCTGCCCCTTTTCTTTTTCTGCTGGGAGGCTGGGGTCTCTGGGAGCGCTGCAGGTAAGGAGGCCAGACGTCCTGGTGGGCTTCTTTCCTAGTGGGGTCCGGGAGTGAATTTCAGTGTGGGCAGCCTTTCATGGGCAGGGCAGGCTCTCGGGTTGATTAGAATGGACCACAGTGCTACATGTGAAGTGCTATTATTGTTCATAGAGTGTGCAAATAATGGTGTGTGTCAGTGTAAGCGTGCACGGCGCTGCAGTACACACAACTAAACCGTGGCTCTGCCATTGCACGGGGTCGCTGTGAGTTTGTGTTTATGAATGTGGGAGAGTAAGTGCGGCCAGGAAGCGGGGTGCAGGGAGGGGCCGGCGGGTGATCATTTTGCAGAAACCTGAAGAATGTGGCTTAACAAGATTCTGACTCCTCTAAGGTATTACCTAGCATGGATCTCCTTCAAAACACAGATTTCGTGTGAAAAGGTCGACCGTCACAAACTGCTTGGGAAGGGTGGATGCTGAGAGGCAGGGCTTTTGAGAAAGACGGGAACTAACACTGATCTGTCACTAATATTGTGCCAAACTAATCACATACATTTTTTTAAAAAGAGCCCTCCATTCCTATGACCTGAGGGCCAGTTAAGGGGACAGGCCTCTGTTCTAGGCAGAAGTGCCAGCAGCCCCTTTCTAAAATGTTAGGTTGTGGTCAGGGGCAGAGGCTAACGCTTGTGATCCCAGCAGTTTTGGAGGCTAGGGCATGTGGATCACCTGAGGTCTGGAGTTCGAGACCAGCCTGACCAGCATGGTGAAACCCCGTCTGTACTAAAAATGCAAAAATTAGCCGGGCATGGTGGCACACGCCTGTAGTACCAGCGACTTGGGAGGCTGAGGCAGGAGAATCACCTGAACCCAGGAGGTGGAGGTTGCAGTGAGCTGAGATTGCGCCACTGCACTCCAGCCTGGTCAGAAAGAATGAAACTTCATCTCGAAAAAATAAATAAATAAAAAATAAATGAAAAGTTAGGTTTTGCCTGAGCTGGCTCCCTGTGCCATGTGGGAAATGCCTGGCCAGTTTCTGTGGTTCTCGGCCCTCGGCAGGGCGGGGAGCGCTCTGCTTCCCTTGCTGGAGCCCCAAGGACTCTGTCTGCTCCGCGGCCGCCTCTGGAGGCTCCCCCCTCACTCTGCTTCCAGGGGGAGTGTGTGGTGGATGAGGGAAGTATCCCGGGAAGGGGACACAGGTTCAGAAGCTCCTCGAGTCCTGGCCACTGCCCTGTCTTTTTGGCTCACCCTGGAAGGTGGACGCTGGCCCCACAGGTCCCTTCTCAAAGCCACAGGCCGAGAGCCACAGGATCCCGGGGCTGGCTGGCCCCAAGTGGGTTGTCAGGGCTTCAGAGGACGCCAGTCAGGGCAGCTCCAGCTCCGTGCCCGCCGCAGGGGCCTGGGCCTCCCAGGACTGCCTCCTCCTTCTTTGCTTACGCAGATGAAAAACGAGGTAACAGCACTGCCCGTCCCCACCCTCCTCCCAGAGGTGCCCAGGGAATAAACGCAGTAGCTTGCGTGAAGTCCAGTGGAACTCAGCCTCACCGAGTCAGTCTTCACCACAGGCCCTGGCACCGGCAGACCAGAAACTGCGGTGACAGCAGACGCCACAGAAGTGCCTGCGATGACTCCAGGCGCCGGGACCAGCTCGGAGGGAGCGCTCCAGACCCCTGGCCTCACTGAGACCTCAGCACCCAGCCACGCTGCTTCGGAAACTCACACAATGAGCACTGAGACCTCTTCTAGGACCTCAGTCCCAGCCAGCCCCATTCCAGTAGCAGAGACCAGGGGAATCAAGACCATTTCGCCTGCAACAGGGACCAGGATCGTCACAAAAATCATACCTCCCGACGTGGTGGTGGTGATCGCCACCTCCATGGAGACATCAGTCACCAGCGGCAGCCCCGAGGGGGCTGGGACAACCACCCTTGAGACCGTCACAGGTGGTGATCCCGAGGACCCCGTGTTTGACACCCTTTGCACCGACGACAGCTCTGAAGAAGCAAAGACACTCACTGTTGCCCTGTTGCCACTGGCTCGCGCCTCCGCAGACGCTGAGGGCCTGTCGTCAGGGAGCAGCGCCTCTTCCCACAGCTCCCAGCCGGTCACCACCACCTCATGGACCTGGGCATCTGACGTCACTGTCCTCACTGAAGCGCTGGTGACCGTCACCCACATGGAGGTTATCAACTGCAGCATCACAGAAATAGAAACAGCCACTTCCATCATCCCTGGGGCCTCAGACACAGACCACGTCCCCACAGGAGCAGTGAGGGCCTCGCCCACCTCCCATCTACCAGCTCTGCCCGACTCCACTGCCACAGAACCACACCTCACGGAGGCCACGGCCTCTGCTGAGACCCCGTCAACAGCTGGCGCCACAGAGTCAGCCACACCTGATGCCACAGTTAAGACCCTACTCCCCACCAGCAGTGCCGCAGAAAGAGAAGTGACGGCACCCAGGGCCTTGACGCTCGGGGGGACTCTGGTGACCGTCAGCGGGAACCCCTTGGAAGAGCCCTCAGCCCTCTCTGCTGAGACACCTAGTTATGTCAGAGGCTCCGGGGCAGCTTCGGTTTCCACAGAGGCCGGGTCAGCAGTGGACAAAACGATGTCCTTTGCTGGGGCCCCTGCTTCAGCCCATAGCCCCTTGGCAGCAGCCACCCCCCAGAACCTCACCCCTTCGGAGACCACCGCGGACTTCACAGCCACGGGGCCCTTCCCTGGCAGCAGGGACCCTCTTCCTTCTGTCCATCTGACCACAGCCAGCAGCAGCCCGGGAACCAACAGCACCTCGGCCAAGACCCCGATGGAGCCCCCAACAGCCACGTCCCCCACTGCTCGGACGGGGCAGACCACAAACGTTAGCCCAGGTAAGTGGCTCCCGCATGGTGATCTTTGGGGACTTGGGCTGCGGAGTTTCCAGGACATCTCCGAGCTTGGGGAGCGGAGAGGAACGGAGGGTCGAGGCCTATTTGGAGTGCCCCTGACGTTGCCTCTTCGTGGTCTTCCAGTGGTTCTTGGCGAAATCAGGAAAAGGCAGATGGAGGGTTGTGTGTGGAGAGCGTGGAGACGGACGTCTGGGGAAACGGTTTGCCACCTCAGCTCTGCCTCTCACGGCCCGAGTGGCCTTGGCCAAGTCCCTCTCCCTCTCTGGGCCTCAGTTTCTTCACCTGTAGTTGGAGAGGCTTGGGATGGGCACTGAAGTCCTTTCCAGCTCTGAACTTCTATGAAGTTCACTGGTGAGCAGCTCTGGAAGCTTCTATTCCAGCCGTAGCCCCACAGAGGAGCAGCACGCAGGCATCAGGCCCCAGCTGCTGCTCTCTGACGGGCTGGGACCCCATGAAAGTGGGGTCCTCTGGATGCATTTCCTAGGATTTATGCCATAGATAGTGACTTAAAATAAATAAATACAGCTGGGTGCGGTGGCTCATGCCTGTAATCACCTGAGGTTAGTAGTTCGAGACCAGCCTGGTCAACATGGTGAAACCCTGTCTATATTTGAAAATACAAAAATTAGCTGGGTGTAGTAGCGCATGCCTGTAATTCCAGCTACTCAGGAGGCTGAGGCAGGGGAATCGCTTGAACCCAGGAGGTGGAGGTTGCAGTGAGCTGAGATCACACCACCGCACTCCAGCCTGGGTGACAAGATTGAAACTCCATCTCAAAAATAATAATAATAATAAAATGAATACAGTGACGGTGTGGGAGTTGAAAGCTGTATCTCTGAGGCAACGGGGACTCCTCAGGGGAGAACTCGTGCCAGAGGCTGCCTGGTCAGCCCAGCTTCCGGCCTCCACCGCCACCTCCTGTCACTCTGTCCTGGGCCTCGCCTCTGTGTATCCACAGCTTGCTCCCACCTTTCTGGAAGAGGTGGGAATACAGATATTAATCACAACCGCCCAATAAATAAAGATATTGTTGAGTGTCTTTTGTGTTGTAGGCAGGGTGACTTAAAAATATCTCACACCCAGTGAGCCTTGGCGATGCCAGGCAGCGTGCCGCCAGCTCTGCATATGCTGTCTCCTCTGTTTAACCTTCAAACAGCCACATGAGGTGGGCAACACGGCCCCGTCTGACAGGCTTAGAGATGGCAGGAAACTGCTCTGGAAAGAAAAGTACTTTCCTGTGTTACTTGCTGATTAGATAACATGTTCACATGTGAAATTGAAAGGTACCAAAAGGTACACCATAAAATGTCTTCCTCCCCGGCTACCCCCACTCAGTTCTCTTCTCACATGTCACCTGTGGGATTTTCTCTTTTTCTTTTCCTTTTTTTGTTTTGAGATGGAGTTTCACTCTTGTTGCCCAGGCCGGAGTGCAGTGGCACGACCTTGGCTCACTGCAACCTCTGCCTCCCCGGTTCAAGCAATTCTCGTGCCTCAGCCTCCCAAGTAGCTGGGATTACAGGCATGCACTATTATGCCTGGCTGATTTTTTCTATTTTTAGTAGAGATGGGGTTTCACCATGTTGGTCAGGCTGGTCTCAAACTCCTGACCTTAGGTGATTTGCCCGCCTTGACCTCTTAAAGTACTGGGATTACAGGCATGAGCCACCACACCCAGCTGGGACTGTTTCTTGTATGTAATTTTCTGCCCATGAAATGTGCATACGGAAGCAAGTTTATGTGTCTATTTCATCCTGGTTTTTTGTGCCAGTGGAGCAAATGACAAACTCAGAAGAAAAGGTTTTCATTTACTTTGTATTTTAAGTCCATATTTATGGCCTCGTGTTTTGTCTCTTCAACTGATTTTATTCTCTCATTTATTTTTTATTAATTAATTAATTTTTTTGAGATGGAGTCTCTCTCAGTTGCCCAGTCTAGAGTGCAGTGGCGCAATCTTGGCTCACTGCAGCCTCCGCCTCCCGGGTTCAAGCGATTCTCCTGCCTCAGCCTCCTGAGTAGCTGGGATTACAGGTGCCTGCCACCACGCCTGGCTAATTTTTGTATTATTAGTAGAGATGGGATTTCACCATGTTGGTCAGGCTAGTCTTGAACTCCTGACCTCGTGATCCGCCCACCTCACCCTCCCAAAGTGCTGGGGTTACAGGCCTGAGCCACTGCGCCCAGCCCTATTCCCTTAGTTTTATTGACCAGTCAATAAAATTGTCTTTCTTGTGGTTTGAACACTTCCCATGAGACCTGCCCTCTTAACTGCTGCAATCCAGGATTGTTACCCCCAGGCCCCGTGTTGGACGGCAGGGCGCCAGCACGGACTCATCCTGCGTAACTGAAATTTCATCGCGTTGACAGCGCCTCCGTCTCCCTGTCTTTCCCAGAGCTCTTCTTTCTTGATTCCCTTCTGTTTCACCGTCACTTACTTAACCGGTTCTGTGTGGATGGGCTCTTACGTTGGTTCTGGTATTTCCTGAGGACTAACAGCGCTGCAGTGAATAGTTCCTTTCTCACGTGAGTGTCATTTTCTGTAGAATAAGCTTCCGGAATTGCAATTGCTAGATCAATACTAACAGTACTGTGATAGGAAGAAATGACTTCAAGGTGGCAGAGCCGAGCAGACCAGGCCTCAGCGGCAGAAGTTTCTTGCAGAGCTGCTGACCCAGGACAGCTGGTTTAGACCTCTTCAGCCCCCACCAACTTCACGCTGGCCAAGGGCACCCCTCAGAGAGCCAGCCTCTCTCCGGCACCCTCCGTGGCTGGGCTGTTTTCCCACGGCTCCATCTAGGACCTTCTGGCCTTGAGAATATTCTAGATCCACGTTCATTTCCCCTTCCTCACACTGCTCTTTTGAATTCTCTAAATGTAAGTGGTGCCCTAAGCCACTATTTCTTTCCCTCTTCTTGGGGGGATGCTACGGTGACCCTAATGGTCCCAGAGGAATCCTTTTCTTTCTATAGCAAGTAAACGTAGAATCTGTAGGAATACAGACACAGTATGCCCGAGAATGCCGTGTGAGTGGTGAGGGTGGGGAAGCTGGGCAGAATGAAGCGTGTCTCGATCCCTAAACTGACCCGACCAATTTTCACCTTCCTTTTCTTTTTTTTTTTAGAGGCAGAGTCTCGCTCTGTCACCCAGGCTGGAGTTGGGTAGCCTGGCGCGATCTCGGCTCACTGCAACCTCCACCTCCAGGGCTCAGGCGATCCTCCCACCTGAGCCTCCTGAGTAGCTGGATGACAGGCATGAGCCCCCACACCTGGCCCTGATTTCATCTCACTTTCCTCCATTTGCAGGTGAAAATGTAGGTTTCCTCCTCCTGCGGCTGAGTGTGGCCTCCCTGGAAGACCTCACTGACCCCAGAGTGGCAGAGAGCCTGGTGCAGCAGGTGAGTAGGAAGCTGTGAGGTTCGCAGGGTGCAGGAAAGGTGTGCGGGGCACAAAGGAGCAGCCGCTACGCTTGGAAGGGAGTCTCGTTCCTACAGAGAGTGAGGGTTGGGTCGGAGGCCCCTGCCTGGCTGGCTTCTGCCGGCCTTCTCCGAGCTCCACATTTCCTTCTCTGCGATGTAAACACACGACTTCCGCAACCCCAATTTCTTCCGGTCCTTGGAAGCCTGGCCCTCTGGCCCCTGAGCAGAAGGTCAGTGACACGGAGGGAGGGTAGGCAGGACTCTTGGTTGCAAGTGGCAGAAACCCAAGTTATAGCATTTTATACAAAAAACAGGCAGGATCTGAGAAACGTAGAAGAGCCTCTTCCACCTTCAGTTATGGCTGGACCCTGCAGCTCAGATGTGGCCATGGGAGTTTCCTTTCTCTGCCTGCCTTAGCTGACCGCCCTTCATTCTTCAGTCTTTCTTCATACGCATGAAAAGGTGGCCTTGTCAGCCTTAGATTCTGGAGGCACTTCCCTCCCCAAATTTTCATGTCATCCGGGGAAGGACAGGTCTTCTCAGCCTGGAAGGGCCACCGTGACTGACAACCTAATCAGGGTCCCACAGAGGAAGGATGAGCCCCAAGGAACGTGGGAGGTGAGGCAGAAGAAAACACCCATAGATGTGCACTCCAGATGGGGACCAAGACTGGGATGTAGTTGTGCAAGCTGGGAAGATTCCCCTAAAACCCACTGGACAGGACTTCCAATGGTGAAATTCACGGCGTGGCTTGCTGGAGGGTTAGACTGGGCCAGCCCAGTGCAGATTTCATGGGCCTGGCCTCTCAGGCGTGGACGGTTCTCCCACCGTGCGGGACAAGGCAGCAGATGGAGCCTGAGCTCTGCTCACAGGTGTGACCAGGGAAAGCGGGCCCCGGACACAGCCTGACGTGGGTCACCTGTTCAACGGTGCCCTTGCCAGTACCCGGAGCTCATGTTTAGCACCTCTCACAGTCCGTGGCTGCCACACGGCTTATCAGTGGCTCAGGCTTACTGTCATCCCTTGCAAGGGTAACCCTGGCAGAGATGCTGGGGAGGTCTTAGCCAGGCTGGACAGTGAAATGATTGCCCTTAGCAGACAGAAGCAAGATCTGTCCATGGAGAGTGGGACCCTTTGCTGCAGGCAAAAGAAAACCCCTGTCTGTCATGAGTAAAAGGGGATTTGTTGGCAGGGTCTGAGTGTGCAGAATCAGAGGAATGCCAGGGCAGCAGGCTTGGGACAGGCAGGAGGACCCCAGGGGCTCTGGGGTCAGACGGTGGGAGCACGCTGGCTGGGACACGGTCGCTCTTGC